TTTATATAATTTCACTCAAGTGTCCATCTTCAGGAAAATCACTTTTAATAATCAGATAGAAATAGGTAAAGATACATACCTAAACGTTATTACTATTTCTAGAGACAAGAAAAGGAGGTACAGGAGGTAGATTTTGTCTCTGTATCTGCCAGACAGCTTAGTACTCTTCTGACATTGTCTGAATGCACAGCTCAAGCTGTTTAGTTACCACAGTTGGGTGTAACACACACATTAAATGCAGCATTTCCTTATTTAAGGCAGTTTCTGTAACCTCTTTAGTGCTGATGAGAAGCATCTTAATGATATCCTCTACCATATCCTGAGGTGGAAATTATGGTTGACAGGGGAAATAAAACAAGGACTGAAAAAAGACATGATTTTAAAACTGATCTAATATTCTCAAATTTCTTCAATAAGTATGTATATTGGTAGCTCCAGATAATATATATTAAGAATTAAAGTTGCATCTCAAAAACACAAGGAATAAATAAAAACTGATACATGGAAAACCAAAGCTGTTGGATATATTGTTTTAGGTTGAGAATATATAAAGACATAGGAACAGAATCCATATCTCTGGCTATTTAATTTAAAAGTTTTCAGAAGAATTCTTATAAATGATAATCATTTGGTCAGTTCAGTGTCAATAATCATTAAGCACTTGAATATATGTAAAATACTAGACTGTATCTTCTGGGGTTGTTTTTTGGTTGTTGTTGAGTTTGATTGTCATATATAAAGAACATTTTAAATATTGTTAAGCCTAAGCATTCACCTGAGTAAAAAAAATTGTTACTGTGTCACCTTTTAGAGTAATACTGCTAAAGATAATCATCATTTGTGCCACAAGGATAAAAAATGTCATCTCAGAGGCATGATCTTCCAGCTCATGGTCTATAGTCTGTACTTTAGTTGGGCTTTTCACTGCTCCCAATATTGACATTCATGGCTTATTTAATGTCATCCAAATTTCCCCATCAGTATTGTTAAACACTGAGCTACTAACCAAACATCAGCAGGTCGAACCTAATAGCCACTCTGTGGGAGAGAGAAGTGACAGTCTGTTTCTGTAAATATTACAGCTTTGTAAACTCTATGGGGCAGTTCTACTCTGTTCTGTAGGGTAACTATGAGGTAGAATTGACTTGACAGCAATGGGTTTGGGGGTATATTTCCCCATAAGTATGTTGTTGTTAGGTGCCATTGTGTCAGCTCTGACTCATAGCAACCCTATATACAATAGAACCAAACACTACTGGGTCCTGCACCATCCTCACAATGTTTGCTATACTTGAGCTCAATCCGTCTTGTTGAAGGTCTTCCCCTTCTTTGCTGACTCTCTACCAAGCATGATATCCTTCTCCAGGAAATTGTCCCTTCTGACAACATGACCAAAATATGACAGACGAAGTCTGGCCATTCTCACTTCTAAGAAACATTCTGGCTGAACTTGTTACAAGAAGACAGATTTGTTTGTTCTTCTAGCTGTTTGTGGTAGTTTCGATATTCTTTTCCAACACCACAATTCAAATGTATCACCACTACTAGGTTCTTCCTTATTCATTGTCCAGCTTTCACATGCATATGAGGCAATTGAAAGTACCATGACTCAGGTCAGGTGGACCCTAGTCTTCAAATTTACATCTTTGATTTTTAACACTTTAAAGTGGTCTTTTGCAGCAGACTACCCAGTGTAGTAGGTCAGCTGATTCATTGACTGCTACTTCCATGAGCATTGATTGTGGATCCAAGTAAAATGAAATCCTTGACAACTTAAATCTTTTGTACATTAATCATGATACTGCTTATTGTTCCAGTTGTGAGGATTTTCATTTTCTTCATGTTGAGGTGTATTCCATACTGAGGTGTATTCCATCTTCATCAGTAGGTGCTTGCTCTTCAGCAAGCAGTGTTGTCATCTGCATATTGCTGGTTGTTAATGAATCTGCTTCTAATCCAGATGCCATGTTCTTCTTCATATAGTCAAACTTGTTGGATTATTTGCTCAGCATACAGATTGAATAAATACGGTGAAATGATACAACCCTGATGCACACCTTTCCTGATTTTAAACTACCCATCAGTGTACTGAATCAATATTATTTACCATTTTTGAAACTGATAGGATAGTAGAGGTAAGATAAGCCACACCTGTGAGAGCCTTCTATAAACAATTGACCCTATAATTAATTCTCTGGGATCACCTTGGCTTCAAAATAACACCTTTCTTCACTGAGAAACTGGATGATAACAGCAATACAAATCTTGTCAGATGACCCATTTAGGAAATCAGGAAAGAATGATAATCTGTAGTTATAAAAGACAGTCATTGCTGCAGTGATCTGAAGCAATTCTGGTAATCTCATTCTCCTTGCTAATACATGTTCACTGAAAACAAATTTACCACTTACTTTGGAAGACAGGCACATTTTTGCATTTCTGTACTTTGAAGTACTCCTGAATATATTAAGTAAAATGTTAGGTTAACTACTATTTAGAGGATCCTGACTATATCCTATGACTGATTGATAAAAGGAGAAACAAAGGTAGACCATTAAGGGTGTTGATAAAGCTAAACTTAAGAAGAAATTAGAATCTTTGCTTGCCCTCCCCCCAATTTGAAACAATTGAAAGGTCTTTAATGACTCAAGCAGATAGTTTTTTGTTTCCCACCTAGTAGTCATTTTGTCCTTTTTTTCTTTCTATAGCGCCAGGAGTCAGTAAACTTTTTCTTAGCCAGAGAGTAAATATTTTAGTATTTATAAGGCTAAGAGACAAAATCATGTGTATTATATAGGTACTTATATAGACATTTAAAATGTAATTTCTTAAAAATTTAAAAACTGTTCTTAGCTTGTGGACTGTGCAAAGTGGACAACTGGTTGGAATTGGCCCGTTGGTCAATTGCCAATACTTTCTGTAGAAGTCTGTTTTGTTAATATATGGGAGACCATGTGTTTCTGGATGGATCTAAAGCAGCTCTAGTAATCTCATTCTCCTTGCTGATGCAGATTCATGACACATTTTCTACACCAGCCATAAGGAATTGTCTGCTGGGAAAGGTTTTTTTTTTTTTTTAAATAGATGTATGAAACTTCCTTGTGTGTAGGTGATATGAGGAGCTGCTGCAATAGTTATCTTTTGACCACAGAGCAATAAATATGGGGTCCCAATACTAGGAGATCTGACAAATTATGTCATTCACTTCTCATAAGAAATCATTCTTCCTCACAAAAACTCTTATTGAATATCTCTTTAATAGTTTCCCTATTATCCATTGTTGTTCTTTTAAGTAGGTTGTGCACAGTGTCACCATATTGTTCTAGTTTTGTTATTCTAGCTATTGCGTGGAGTGAGTGGTTCTATTACATTACTTGCTGATACTTTTCTGTGATATCTTTGTTGTCTGATAAGCACTCCATAGGTAATCTCTTGTTGCTATGATACTTTCTAGAGGTTAAGGTAAGAGTTAAAGTGTTCTTTCATAATAAAAAAAGCATGGATTTGTTCAAGTAAAACATTTTATGTTACACTGACTGTCTTGTACTTTAGCTAAGGAAGTTTAGGTTTCTGAAATACTGGAATACAATATAACCAATAGGAATGAGTAAATGCCTTATGTAAACCACAAGGATGAGGATATAAAGCTTAAAGATATAATCACATTTTGGGTTTTAGCCTTGAACTATTTCTTATCAAATGGTTGGATTTTTGGATCAGCTAAATATAAAAATTCTCTTTAGAAGTGGACTCTAATAATCATTTACACATTTTTCCCCCATTCATTCAGAAGATGTATTTAAAACTTTAGCTATATCTTAAACATTGTTGCTTCTTGGAGTTAGGAGTGGAAAGAAGAGTTACATTTAAGACTAAGTTATGGGCCTTGCTTTAAATGTCTTGTAATTTACATACAGCTTCTAACACAGAGCCTAATATTGTTGTTGTTGTTATGTGCCGTCGAGTCAGCCCTGACTCATAGCGACCCCTCCTTGGGTTTCTGAGGCAGTATCACTACGGAAGTAGGATTGCCCAACCTTCCTTCCGGGGAGTGGCTGGTGGGTTTGAACCACCAGCCTGCTGGTTAGCAGTCAAGTGCCTTACCCACTACGCTACCAGAGCTCCCAAGCCTAATATTAGTAGGTACTTAATAAATATACCCCCTCCTTACCAGACTACCTAGAAGATGAACAATTTAGTTCTAATTTTGACAGGTGTTTATAGGAAAGGAATGTACTCAGGCCTCCCCTCTCTGAGACAGAAGAGGAGACAAGAAAAATTAAATAATCTCAATGGGAGGTGACTTTGTCCACTATTTCACTTCATTAGCATGTGACCCAGAGTGAGTGAGAGATGAGACAAATCAATCTGTTGTTTTCTATATTGTACTCAGTTATATTTATGGCAGAAACCTCTTCTTGCACATAGTGGGTTTCTGGAGTTACTATGTGTTCTCTGTCTGTGTTGAGTTGATCTGCTCATGCATAGAAGGTAAAATTAGCTGGTCTTGGCTTTACTGAGAAATTTTCTATCTGTTTTTACCATAGCATTTTGCTAAGGTAGTTTCAAGGGTTATCTTGACCAAAGGCAAATGTTACATTTTGCAGTGACTTTAGAAACTTAACACTTTTCTAAAACAGGTGCTAATAAGGCTAGAACAAAGCAGACCTAGCAAATTGTAATGAGAAGTGAAAGTAGGAAGGAGGGTGGCATTAAAATAGAGTACACATAGTCTTAAATTAATGCTGTGGGATTCAGTTTTATTCAGAGGCACTGAAAAGTCACTTAAGTTTGAGGCAAGGAATAACTTGTGTAAGATCTGTATTTTATAGTAGTAATTCTAAAACCATGTGCCCATGATTCATATTGCTAAATTGGGGATTCCATCACTATCATTGAATAATATAGCCTTCACAATTTATTTTTCTCATAAGAATTTATTTGCTAAGGGAATGAAAATATATACTCACTTCCATGTGCCTACCAAATGATTTTTTCAGATGAACGCACTGGACACCCTTGGTCAGACTGCTTTGCATAGAGCTGCCTTAGCAGGTCACCTGCAGACCTGCCGCCTCCTGCTGAGCTATGGCTCTGATCCCTCCATCATCTCTTTACAAGGCTTTACAGCAGCACAGATGGGAAATGAAGCGGTGCAGCAGATTCTGAGTGGTGAGTTAAAATAGACAAACTGTATTTTATGCTTTTATTCCATATCCACTGATGCATACAGACAAACTTTGCACCACTTGTTTTAAGTATCTCTTAGGAATGTTTTCTCAGCGTCATTTTTTTCTTCCCCCACATGTCTCCCACCAGTTGAATTGTGTCCCCCTAAATTATGTGTGAACTTGGCTGGGCCATGATTCTCAGTCATTGGGCAGTTATATAATGATGAAGTTTGGCAGTTATGTAATGATCAAATCATCCCCTATGATGTGATCAGCCAGTCAGTTGTAAGGGGGTTAAGGTGGAAGTAACACTTAGGTCACAGCTCTGAGCAGATGTAAGGGAAATTTCCATGGGTTGTGGCCTGCGTCACCTCTTACCTTACAAGAGATAAAAGGAGAAAGAAGTGATCAGAGAAGTAGGGATCTCAGTACCACCAAGAAAGAAGAGCCAGGAGTGGAACACATTCTTTGGACAGAGAGTCTCTGCTCTAGATCCAAGGGAAGATTGATGCCAAGACACATAGAGATCTCCAAGGAACGCCGAGCCCACAGTTTGAGAGGAGACAAGGAATTTCCTCCAGAGCTGACAGAGACAACTATCCCCTAGAGCTGGTGCACTGAATTTGGACTGTTAGCCTCGTGAACTGTAAGAGAATCAATTTCTGTGTGTTAAAGCCATCCACTGTGGTATTTCTTTCATAGCAGCACTAGCTAACTAAGATAATGCCTTTCCTTGCTTATAGTGGTACTATGCAAACCAAACTCACTGCCATCGAGTCGAGTCCGACTCTTAGCAACCTCTCCTTGGGTTTGCGAGGTGGTATCTCTACAGATGTAGATTGCCCCGTCTTCCTTCTGAAAAGCAGATGGTAGGTTTGAATTGCCAGCCTTCTGGTTAGAAGTCAAATGCCTTAAGCACTATGCCACCAGAGCTCCGATAGTTATACTATGATCTTCCCTATTTCCTTTTTTGAGGAGGTAAATAACCTCTTTAATTTGTGTCAGTTTTAAATTTTAACGCTCACTCGTAGGTGTTGAACCTAAAAATCACATAAACTGTGTAGAGTTATGGTAGTTCTGTTGTTAGTTGTCATCAGGTTGATTCTGATTCATGGCAACCCAATATACGCAGAGTAGAACTGCTGTATGGGGTTGTCAAGGCTGTGGTGTTTTGGAAACAGATTGCCAGGCCTATCTTTCAAGGTGCCTCTGGGTGGGTTTAAACTGCCAACTTTTCAGTTAGTGGTCAATTTGTACTACCCACAGAGTCTTATGGTAGCTCTGAAACCTATCAAATAGAGAATATTACAAAGTATTCATACTACAAAGTATTCATAACTTCTAATTCTTATATATGTTAATACTTTGATCTGCTTTTTTTAATTCTTAATTTCATTTTACTGTTACAGAATTATCATCTTTTTATTGTTGTTTAAATATAATTATGTATCTTGTTGAATGTTAACAGCTCCTACCTAGTGTGCAAGCACCAAAAAAACCCATTGCCATCAACTCCATTCCAACCCATGGCAACCCTATAATGACAGAGTAGAACTGCCCCATAGGATTTCTGGCACTGTAATCTTTATAGAGGGAGCTCTGGTGGCTTAGTGCCTAAAGCATCTGGCTGCTAATCAGAAGGCTGGTGGTTGACACCCACCAGTCACTTCTCAGAAGGAAGACTGGGCAACCTACTTCCATAGAGATACTGCCTCAGAAACCCAGAGAGGGGTCACTATAAGGTGGAATTAACTCAGTGGTAGTGAGTTTGTTTTCTTTTGTTTTTAAAATCTTTATAGAAGCCACACCTTTCTCCCACAGAGAATCTGATGGGTTCAAACTACTGACCTTTCATTTAGCAGCCATATGTGTAACCAGTATGCCACCAAGGCTCCTCTACCTAATACATTGTTAGATACTTTAACTGTTGAGTGTTTTGAGGGAGATCAAACATAAAATTGATGTGGACATGGACAGTGGTTTCGTAAGTCCAAAATTAGAACAAATAACACAGTCTCCCAACTGAAAAATTATGAACCAAAACAAATTTAGTATAATGGAGTCTTTTCCCCATCCTTTTAATTTCATATCTGCTGTGTAGTGATTTAGGAGCTCTGGTAGCATAGTGCCTAAGGCACTTCACTGCTAACCAGAAGACTGGCAGTTCAAACCCACCAGCCACTCTTTGGAAGAAAGGTAGGGCAATATACTTCCATAGTGCTACTGCCTCGGAAGCCCAAGGAGGGGTTCCTGTGAGTTGGGTTCAACTTGACGGCAGTGAGTTTGGTGTTTTTTTTTTTTTTGGTGGTATACTAGTTAAGGTATTTGACTGGTAACCTAAAGGTTGGTGGTCGAACCCACCAGCTGCTCTGCGAAGAAAGATGGAGCAGTCTGATTCCATAAAGATTTACAGCCTTGGAAAACAAATTAGGTTCACTATGTGTCATAATCGACTTCATGGCAGTGAGTTTGATTTGGTTTGAATATGGTGATTATATTCTAGCTTATCCCACTTCATACGCCAGCTGCGTCATGTGGAAATCTCAGAATCCCACTATCTTATCCTGAACTATGAAGATGTAAGAAATCCCCACTTTTTTCACTTCTCTGTTCAGTTCTGACACCAGCTGCCCATGTGATGCTTCTTTCCCTCACTGTAGCCACCTGGAGCTAGGTCATAACTCAAGCTTTACAAGGACATTATCCTTCAGACTGCCAGATAGGCAAATGCCAGCCACACATTTGGGAGTCCACATGACACCCCACCTTCATGATCTGCTGGCTCCCACTACTGCTTTGAGTTTGATAATTCACTGAAATGACTCACAGAACTCACGGAAAGTCCTATACTTATGATCACAGCTTTATTATCTAAGAAAAGATGTACACAAAGGTCACATAAGGCAGGGTCTGGGATATAGGAGCTCTGGTAGCATAGTGCCTAAGGCACTTGACTGCTAACCAGAAGGCTGGCGGTTCAAAGCCACCAGCCACTCCTCGGAAGGAAGATGGGACAACCTACTTCCGTAGTGATACAGCCTCAGAAACCCAAGGAGGGGTCGCTATGAGTTGGGTCCAACTCGATGGCATATAACAACAACAAGAACATGTCCCAAAGGGTAGGCTGTGCTCCCACATGTGTTGATGTCTTTCACCACCCAGGGATCCTCTGGAGCTTCCTTGGCTAAATCTGACATAGGCATGATTGATTTAACCAAGTTTCCCTCCCTACCTGAGGTCAGCTGATAATAGGCTACCAGGTGATCTTTTTGGCTAGGCCACCTCCTTGCTCCTTTGCACAAATCCTCAAGTGCTGTTTAGATAACAAAGGTACCTCAATTACTCAGGAAATTCCAAGAGTTTAGAGTTAACTCTCAGGAAGCAAGGGTGGTGTAGCACCTAAGGTGTTTGACTGCTAACCAGAAGTCTAGCAGTTCAAACCTACCAGCTACTCCTTGCAAGGAAGATTGGGCAGTCTGCTTCTGTAGAGATACTGCCTCGGAAAACCCAAGGAGGTTGTTGCTATGAGTCAGGATCGACTCGACGGCAGTGAATTTGGTTTGGTTTTGGTTTACTTTGGGTAAAGTTAAATTCTTCATCCCATAGTTCCATAACAGTCTGGAAAAGTGAAATGGAAAAAGCTACAGACTGGCAGTCAGAAGTCTATGGTTACTTTTTCCTATCTGCAGTACATTAGTTCTTCACAGTGCCCCATTTTTATAACAAATATTTTATAGCATCCCATTTACTATACAAAAATGAAATTAATGAACACTATAACCTAGCTACACAGATACCTCTCAAAAAATCTGTATTGAATGCTCTTACTATAATATGTAGTCCCTGGTTGAAGCAAACAGTTAAGCACTCTCTTATAAGCTAACAGTTGCGTGGTTTGAACCCACCCAGAGGCACCTCAAAAAACAGGCCTGGAAATCTGCTTCTGAAATGAATCTGTTTTCTGAAACCTTGAAAATCGCTGTAGAGCAGGTCTGGTCTGCACACATTGAGTCACCGTGTGTCAGAATCAACTCCATGACAACTAAAAACAATAACAACACCTATAATATAAAGTGGAAATGTCAGTAAATTATAATAAAATAATGTATAATTATTTTATTTGACATGGCTACACTAGATGAAAACATTGGTCCCACAGATTTTTTTAAGGACCCCAAGAGGTAAGGCCCAGTTGAAAATCACTGCTGTCTACTAAAGTGTGGAAGCATATGGAGATTATATGCGTTGTTAGAGCTGATCAACGCTAACCAGCCTCTTAAGAGTAGTTGTGCAATATAGTGAAAGCTGTTGATTAGGATTTATCAGGCAATCTACTTCTGTAATGATACTGCCTTGGAAACCCAAGGAGGGGTCACTATGAGTGGGATCCGACTCAATGGCAGTGTGTTTGGTTTTGGTTTTGGTTCATTCTAAGATAGTGATCTAGTGATCAATCTAGTTCAGTCTTAGATCATGATTTTTAGACAGTGAAAGAAGACCTATCTAGGCATCTTCACTATCAAACGAATAAAGGATTGAACTTTTTTGTTATACCATGTCAAGCTTAAGCTGTTAATAGCATGTCTTCATTAACTTCCTATATTTACAGAGCAATAAACGTTTTTAAAAGAAGATAGCACTCATTGACTAGGAAATATTTTTGCCTTCTCAGTAAATTTTAATAATTTTCTAAAAGGTGTGATTTTTGTTGAAATGTTCATTATTTTTCTCTTATGTCTTTTATTGAGAATCATTTAATACTGAATTTTAAGTTAGTTTTTTTAAGATATAACCATAAATCAGGTAAACTATAGCTGTTGCAAAGGGCCTAGGTGATGCAGGGGTTAAAGCACTCAGCTGTGAACAAAAAAGTCAGCAATTTGAATGTGGCAGCCACTCTGCCAGAGAAAGATGCAACAGTCCACTTTTGTAAAGATTCACACTTGGAAACTATGGGGCAGTTCAACTCTGTCTTACAAGGTCGCTATGAGTTAGAATCCA